ATACAGCCATGCCCAAAACTAGCCTTCTACCAGCTGCTCAAGGCAGCTTAGGCTGCCTGGAGGCCAGGGAACCCAGAGCGGAACAATGGCAGGAAAATAGAGTTCCCTTCAGTCCTTAATTCACATGCAAGTGAGGTGCCAATCAAGTGCTGACAAGCATGGAAAAACCAAAGTCAAAAGTGGGTAGAGACATGCTTTCAAAAGGAGCTGTTTTCACACATTTCTAAGTGATGTTTTTTAATGGTGGCTGTGAACAAACCACGAACAATGCAGAAAAAAGAAATAAAAATGAGCAGATCCTAATATTCTTTAAGTTGAGACAATTCAGTGAAGCCAGTGAAATGTATTGATAGAAATACTTGATACACTTTATGAAAAATATGAGCACTCTTGCTTTGGTTAAAGGCAACCATCTGAATGTGAGGCACTGTGACCTGTAAGCACAGCCATAAAGTGAGCGGAGGTGGGTTGTGGACAAGGAAAGCCAGCTCATTTCAACAACAATAATGATGACAGTGTTACTTGATTTTGTAAACTGATTAGCACCTGGGAAGACAAGAACAAAACCCAGTGAAATGGCCAATGAAAGCAATGGAATCATTTCAACCAAGTGCCTGGGGAAGGGATGGAAATGTCAAAACATGAATTGTAATATGAAAATTAAAGAAAAGTGAACCTAAGAGCCTAAGCTTAAATAACTAGGCTGCACTATCTGTACATGTCTGTCCAAATAATTTGGTAAACAAAATGTAGCTAAGATTATTAATCCTACCACATATAAAATTAAATGTGTAAGATGGAAATATATGGCTAAATATTCCTTAGATAAGATAATATAGGCAGATAAACGATTTTCAGAAATTCATTATCAATGGATGAGACTGATCATTCTTTTGTCTTTGATAACTATATGTTGGATTAAAACAGGATGTCTTATCAATACTTGTTTTTCTTGGGTCACAGAAAGTTTGGAGAACTGGACATTTGAGTTTCACTCCATAATACAAGCAAAGGCAGTGACAGCTATACTTTTGGTATCATGTTTCTTGTGGCTACAGCAAACTATATACTGTTCTCATAAGGCTATACTCAGAAATAGTTTCATTACAAGACATACTACCATAAAATGAATACTGGCTTTGAAAATAATTTTTTCACTATTGAATGTTCTTCAATACTTTAAGACATTCTCAGTTTCCAAAAGCAATTAGGAAAACATGGACCTCTAACAATCTTGTTCTCCAAACTTCAAAGTAAGCACTTTTAATTTTAAACTAGAATTTTACATAAGTTTTAACCTATTATGTGGCAAGCTACATTACATGTAAATATCATGCAAAACTGTATTAATTACACTTAATTTTTTTAAACTGCATGTGCTATACAGTTTACATTTAAAATAAATGTTCTTAACATGTATGGCTCAAAGAAATGACACTGGTAAAAAATGATCTGTAAGTCCTCAAATATGATAGACTACACTAAGGCAGGGACACATAGAGGGAACCCTGTGGTCTTTTAAGAGTATAAACTTCAACCAATTTTTAAACATTTTAAACCACTGAAAGCTAAAAGTTTTATATATGATGTGTATAATTCACCATATTATGTTAATCTTCACTTTTTTCTTATATAGCTAATACTAACATTTTGAAACCATTTAAGATAATTTCATATGTTACACTTATGCTGAAATACCCAGAGACAATATTTGCCAACATTTTAAAAACTAAGACTTTTCTCTTAAGAATATTATCAATAACTGCAAGAGAGCAGGTTTATAAATATTGCAGTTTGTTTTTCTGTTACTATGTTTTCTTTCAAAAGGCATTTTGAAATAGAAATATAATGAGCTTACACATGTTTATTAAATTTACTGAAATGCAAACCTCATCAGCATGCACTATTATTTGCTTGTAAGCTACTTTTTAGGCCAAGACCACTCTTTCTTCAGCGGGCACTGTTGGTGCCCCTGCATTACATAGTTTAATCATTTGTTATACAACAAGTAGCAAATGCATGAAGTTGAAATGATAACCATTAATATTTTAAGACCTAAACAAGGTATATTACATGAAATAGACTTCTCAGCTCTGCTCCCGCCTGACAGATCCACCAGAGGTTCTATTATCTCCTCCTCCCATGCATGGCCTCCTGCAGGGACAGCAGACTACAGAAGCTGACCCTTACTGGGACCATCTTGTCTCTCAGACAAAGCTCCTTTTTAACTTCTTACTTACTAGTTACTTCCTGTGCTGGAGAAAAACTTTAGCTCAGCTTGTGATAATTTCACAGGCCCTGAGGACCCTGACCCTAATAGCCTCAAGGTCAGAAGTCAAGTCTTGTTCTGAAACATCTGTGTGCTTTATATTAAACTGGAACAAAAGTGGCAAAATATCCACCAGTGTGTGACAAGAAGGACAGGCAAAACAGTGCTGACACACTGGTCATTTGTCAATTTTAGCATCTTAAGTTCATTTTTAAAAATAGCCTTAAATTTGCACTAATCCCAAGTCTGATTTACAGAGTTGTGTTTTTTTTTTTTTTAAATAAATGATTGTAAGGTTTAAAAAATTGTAAGTTATGTTTTACTGAAATTAGAAATTAGATTAGTAGTGTTTCAGGACTTTATATATTTTAAGTTACTCCCTAAGTTAAAGTTAATTTTAAAGTAATTTAGTGGCTTATAAATAAAAGCTATCTATCGTTACAAATGTTTAATTACTTATCTGTAGATATTGAAACACTATTTTAAAACACTGTATTTTCCCCCAAACAACCATATTAAAAAAACAAAACCACACTAATGTGTTAAAAAAAAAAAAAACTCCCTTAAGGTGTGTGTTATGTACAACATAATATATAGCAAAATAAACAAAATCTGTGAAGCTAAAAATGATTGCAAACAATCTTTAAATACTGAAGTCAAATTAAGAAGGAAATGACAACATGTTTCTTGATTTTAGCACAGTGTAAGCATTTTAGGCGTAGGAGGGCACCTGCAGTATCTTATGTGTCAGGGGCGAGCACTACTCTTTTCTAAATCACTTGAGCCTGAGTATGGGCAGCCAAAAGGCCACAGAGACATATTTACAGAACTACACACCAAACTTAGAAAAATGAAAAGTAGACAATGGATATCATGCCATTCTGACACAACCCTTCATTAATGCATTTCTAACATCAATCACTCACAATAACCACAGTGGCATCACTGCAATCTAGAATACTGTATCCAATCAGATTAGATCCAAGATACCTGAGAAGTGTTCCTATCCCATGTACCTAATTTTAACTCTTTAAATTTTTGTGACTAAGCAAAGAATGCTAGTTCCAAGTACAATAATGGAACATTTCTGATAGGTTTAATGCTAATCACATGAACTCTGAAAAAGTGTTAAATACTGAACAGTATATATCAAAGTCAGTTAAAATTATTAAAATTGGGGCTAGAGTTGGGCTCAGTGTTTAAGAGCACTGGCTCGGGGTTCAATTCCCAGCACCCCTGTGGCAGTTCATAGCTGTGTGTAACTACAGTTCCAGAGGATCTGACATGCTCACACAGACACACATGGAGGCAAACCAGAAATAAAATAAATAATTTTTTGAAAATTATTAAAATGATACCAAATATTGAATGGTTTTCAGTTTTGGGTCTATATGATTAACATACATATTAGTGGTATATAAATAAAATAAAATGTAGAACTAAAATGTATAGAAGACACATGATAATATTGAAATTTAAAAATAATATATAAAGAAGGAACAGCCAAAAGTCACTTCTTTTTAGTAATATAAAACTCTGTTACACTTAAAGAAATTAGTACATTCTTTTAAAAAATCATACAAGTATATCCTGGGTGTATTTAAATACATTTTCATTTTTAAATTTAAAATCTTTTCATATAATATATTTTGAACATAGTCTTTCACCACTCTAACCTTCCCTGACTCTGTCCACCTTCCTATACATCTAACTTCATGTTCCTTTTCTCTTTCAAAAATAAAAACAAAGGGAAAATCAAAATGAAAATCAAAACAAACAAAAAACATCAAGACATAAAATACCAAAACAAAATGAGACAAGAAGCACCCCCCAACACACACACACACACACACACAAAGTCCATTTTGTGATGTCTAACTACTACTGGTCATGGGGCCTGCCCCAGAGTGTGGTTGATATACCCAGTGTCACTCTATTAGAGAAAACTTATTTTCCCTTTCCCAGGAGGCATTAGTGGAAAATAGTTTCTTGCTTAATAGTGGGATTTCTTGTCCATCTTCTTTTCTCAGTGTTGGAACTTCCCTTGGGCCTATTATATGCTGCCACAGTCTCCGTGCGAACGCTGGACTGTCTCTTATGCTCACATGTCCAATCAGTCCTGCTGTGTTTGGAAGATGCTGTTTCCTTGGAGTCATCCACCCATCTACCACTTCTAGCTCTTATGATTTTTAAAATAACTTGAAGTAATAATTATCAAGAAGAAAGAAAAAAAGGAATAGAGTGTATGCTGGGTGCAGTGACACTTGCCTTTAATTCTAGGATCTGAGAGGCAGAGGCAGGCATCTGTGTGAGTTAGAGGCCAGTACATTCTACATAGCAAGTTCTAGGCTATCCAGAGCTGAACAGTGAAACCTTTTCTCAAACCAAAACCCCACCAGTAACCAAACCCAAACCAAACCAAATCAAACCAAACCTGTAAAGAGGCTTACATTCAGAATTAGAGTTAAGGACTGGAGAAGGTTCAGCTGTTAAGAGCACTGCCTGCTCCTTCAGAGGACCCTCATCAGTTCCCCTGCCTGGAAGAGGACCCTTGTTCAGTTCCCAGCACCCCTATCAGGTGGCTCAAAACTGCCAGTAACTCCAGTTCCAGGGGAATCCTTTGCCCTCTTCTGGACATGTAGGCACTGGTATGCACATCATATAATACACAAAGGGACTTACACACATACATTAAAAAATAAATCATTAAAAAAGTGAAATGTTCACTTACCAGTTCAACAAAAGCAAGTCCTCCATAGCTGTGAGCAACAAAAAACACGCTCTCTGCTGCAGACTGGGCTATGAAATGGTCCCAGACATAGACTGCATGCTCTTCAGGAGAACCATTTTCCTACAAAAAAACCAAATACATACTGCATATTGTATCTAGTGACTCTCACAGTAATCAATTGAATTCAATTATATGCCTGCATTTGCGCATAAGAATAAGATGGTTAGAGAATATTCAAAGAAATCAAACGAAAGAACTCCATTGAATATTTAAATTAGAGAATAAATTAGTATTAAAACCATTAGCAAATTACCACTGTGTTTAAATGAATATGTAATTTTTAAAAACAACTTATTAAAATAAGTACATTTTAAGGGAAACAATCCATGTGTTCCTGTGGTATTATATTCTACTTAAGCATATTAGGATTATGTAACAGAACATTATGGGGGGGTGTTGATAAAATAATAATTCTTCTATATATCTTAAGAATTTATATTATACATGCATACATTATTTATTTGGTTTATGAGATTTTAAGTAGTATATTGAAAATATGAAGAAAATTAATAATGGACATTTTCTATTGAAGTCATATAAAGGAATATATGCTTTCTAACAGCATGTTCTATGTACATTTTATTTTTAGAACAGAGAAATCTAAACAAATATAAGGGCTTTTAATTTAGGGCTTAAAACCCTATTAAATGTATTCTAAAACTTCTAGAATAACTTCAGTTTACTATATTTATTGCATTAGCTGATACATACAGTGTTCATAAAAATCTAGATAATATGAAAATACTGATCAAATAATAAATTGATGAGAAAAAAATCACACCATAAAAATGTACATATCTATTTCTTAGAAGCCAATTTCCTAACAACATCATGGATATTTCACATGAAGAGAATTTATTCACAATTTCTATCTTTACAAAGCATATATCTGAGGCAGGTGGATTTCTGTGAGTTTGAGGCCAGCCTGGCCTATAGAGCAAGTCCCAGAACAGCTAGGGATGTTACATGGAGAAACCCTGACACAGAAAAACAAACAACCTCCCCCCCAAAAAAAGCCCAAAACAAACAAACAAACAAACAAACAGAAAACCAAGTATATATCTGGAGATGCAATCTCTCGGCAAGCTCCCTGGTTCTTACATTCTCTCAGCCATTCCTTCCACAGTGATCCTGTGTTGTAGGTGTCAGAGTTGTACTGGGACTGGGCTCCATCACTATGAATTTTGAGTGGCTCTATTTTTCAGTAATGGTCTCCATAAGATCACACTAGTGTGACTGCCTAAACAAGAGCTGAACAAGGTCAACAACAATGAATATGCTGAAAATGGGGAAGCCCACAAGGTCTCAACCCTACAAAGAACTCCAGGCAATGGAGGAATGCTGAGAGTAGAAGACATAATCCTTCCGGTGGAAAAGCTCACCAGTTGGCTATAATAGAAAATGTCAGTTGTGAAAACATACATGCAAGTAACATCACAGAGACAAAATAGGCTGTGTATGGAAACTATATATATATATATATATATATATATATATATATATATATATATATTTCTCTGAAGGAGCACAATTAGTGACAGAAGAGGGTATGAATCTGAAAGCGAACAAAGAGGTATATGGGAGGGTTTGAATGGAGGAAGCAGAGGAAGGATATAATGTAATTATATTACAATCTCAAAAAATTAAAATGAATAATTTTTTAAAATATGTTTGTTTTTTTTAATCAAACAGGTTCTACATGGCATCTCAGGCTGGTATGGAACTCACTCTAGCCTGTGTGGCTCTCAAATTTATGGCTGTTTGCTTGCCTCCATCTCCCAGTCTTTAGAATAAAGAGATGCGTTAACAGGAATAGCTCCACCTTAGAAATTTTATAATTAATCTGTTGTCCCCTAATGTCTATCACCACTCCAAATTTCTTCCCACAGCCATGAAGGTGTTAGTCATGGGTCATTTCCTCCTGGATAGTCCATAGACACTTAAACTAACTTGAACCTTCTAGAAACTTCCTGCTTAAATCTGTCTGTATTCCCACATCCAGCAGGAACCTGAACATCATCTTTTATATCTCCTTCCCCTACATTCCTCATGGAATTAGTCACTTAAATCCTGTTGATCCTGCCTCCGATTATGTCAGTATCAATTTCCTCCTCTTTAGTTTCATGTATTCTAACTGTCTCATCAAGTGGTTATTAACAAAGCAACACTGTCCGAGATACCTCTCAATGGTTATTGGTCCTTAGCTAGGAGATCATCCACCTGAGGCAATACCTGGTCTGAGCTCAGCAGATGTCTGTGAGCAGCAAACGAGGACTGCTTCACACTGGCTTTGGAGTAAGGAGTGATAGAATATCACTGACAGGAATCCAAGAAACAGAAACAGCACAATTAGCAGAGCTGCAGTAGTAAAACAGTGTGATTACTAACGAGTTACTCAGCAAGGTAAGAGCAGCACCCCTGACAGCAGTAACAGACAGAAACAGAAACACCTTGAATAGTGAAAGAATGTTAAAGGGGATACATGAATTCCTTTTTGAAGTACTAGTAGTATACAATTTAATAGCTTTAATAATCCAAGTATTATTTATTTTTGTAGATTCAACTTGTTCTTTGACAATTTCACACACACACACACACACACACACACACACACACACACACACACACGTTGCATTCTGTCTACTCTTACTCCCTCTTACCTCCCAGGCAGCATCCATTTTCTACAGGTTCCTTTCCCACATTCTTGCCATTTTGCTTTAGTTTGTGATCCATTAATTTTATAAAGGACTATATATGTGGCCATGAATGGAACTGAAAACTGAGGGGCCCACTTTTAGTACATAAGAGAAGAAAATAACTGTCTCTCTCTCTTCCAGTATCCAACAACAACTAATAAGTCAGTAGGGAGGGATGGGGTCCCATGAGCCTCTCAACCTAATCCACTTCTGCCTCTTGACACACCCAGTTAAATGTAGGCCTAGTGCCCTCAATTGCAGCTAGAGTGAGGTCTGGTTTCAATCGCCATTTATGCACTAAAGAGAGCAACCATCCTCCCTACCCTCGGCCTTTTCCACAATGTTCCTTGAGACTTAGGGAACTCGAAGCCACCGTTTGGTCTAAGCACCTTGGACAATTAACAGTTTTATTTAATATTCAAAGAATTATTTTTTAAAGGCAAGAAAGGAGAGCAACCTTTGCCCTAAAAGACTTGACTTTCCTGTATAGCTATCTCAGAAGGCTTTCAAAAGTGCAGGCTTTTGTTTACTTACAACACCATCATTTGAGGATTTACCCTGAGAAATCGTTGCAGGCGTCTACAACTGTTATCTATGGAATTAATACAAAGAGCATAGTTCCAAATGTATACTTCCAAAATATTATATTACTGACATGATAAATTAAAACCTCACTTTTATAAATAAGATGATATGGCATCCAGGCAAAATAACATTATTTTAACCTATAGTCTATATTGTGCTAATAATCATTACACATTTATAAACTATAATTTAGAGAGCATGTTTTTGAAACAAAACATATTTCAATAAGACTTCATAATACAGAAATACAAACAAACAGAATGTATTCTATAGGTTTCTCTATGAAGTTACATTTTGTATTGAGTAACTTGTAAACAGGGATGGGGCAGGGACAAATTTTAGAATCTTTAAATGAAAAAAAGGCATGAAGAGCAGTAAGTCCATCAGCTGGAGTTTTCAGGAAGCAGAAAGCACAGGTTACAAACACTGAGTAAGTGTGCTGTGCAGAGAATGCAGGCTGATGTCCCTGCTTTACTCTGGCCATCAATTGCTACATGCCAAAAAAAAAAAAAAAAAAAAAAAAAAAAAAAAGTGTTGCAGTAAGCAAAGCCTAATCAACCAGGCCAGATTCTCCCTCACCTTAGCACTGTGAGGTCTGCATTTCTGATGGAATACCTGAGCTGATAACATAGAGAATTATCTAAACAACATTTGCATTTTGTGTAATTATTTTCTAAGGTTAATTACCTCCTGGAATGCATTTTGCCCTTTGAGACTGCTCACAGTGACAGGTTCACATATTTTCTGAACCACTGCCAAATTTGACAGATTTTTCATAAGCTAACCTGTTGCTGTAAAGTTATAAAATGAGTGATCCTATCATATATACTTTATGATTCGTTTTTAAAAGCAAGACAAAAATGTAATAAATATGAAGGTCTTTTTAAACTCCCATTTTAAAAGTCAAAGCATAAAGTTATTACACATTGGAAGAGTGTCTTCCATGACAACAATCTAATATAAGTATAATTTTAAATTAGCATATGCCAATGTCGCTAATCCAGCCACTCCTCTCATAGATGGCACCAAGAGATGAACATGAATATGTGCCCACTCCATCCCTTGCCGGGTGCTGTTAGTGCTCTTCTTGGTTTCTTTCTATACTGGAGGTTCCCAACTTAGAATGAACACTATATGAAATAAATGCTTGTTTGTTGACCAACTTCATTTAAAATTGAAATTTCTCCTGAAAACTAAGATGTTCGATTAGGAAAGTATGCGCCAATAAAACCAAGTAGGATGCCAACAATAAATCACGTGGGTTAAGATGCAAATGTAATCATTATTTTGTTTCCAGCAATGTCACAGTTACATGATGAAGGAAAAATAATCCCAAATCCATAGAATATTTCTCTAGGATAAATGAAACCTAAACATTTTTCATTCTATACTTTAATATGATTCTGTTGTGTAACACAGATAAATTAAAAATTTTGTATGCACAAAAACATTTAATGAATATATCTGCATGAAAAAAATAGTTTGTAAACTACACAGGCTATTATACTGTTACTTATTCCATTAAATTGGATTGAAATTTGTATTCATTTTTGCCTATTTTAAACATGCAAACTTTTACAGATTGAACATATGTGGCTCAGCAATTTAATGAATTAGGCATATATATTATTACACAAAATTACCGGTAGATGTGCATAAAATGATAACATTAAAAAATCAAAGCCATTATTTGTTCTCTAAATACTAAATGGATTCACATGAAGATAACATTATTAGATGTTTGGTTCTAAAATGAAATTTTATAAAGTTAAATTTTAG